TCATTGTTTATAAAAGAAAGTTAAAGATCAATATCAAAAAAAGGAGTTATCCTTTATATGCCAACAAATTCTTTTATCTTCCTCTAATTTTCTTATTGTAAGACGGGATAATTCTGAAATCATGTGAGGAATAATGTTGCTATAAACATTGCGCTAAGTCAAGTGAAGTTCCCAGAGTAATCCATAGCATAACACAAACGGCCATTATTAAAGAGCAGATAAGAAGCGGAAAGGAGAAAAAAGCGAAATTCTACGGAAGGCGGAAGGAACCTTTCTCTAGTTTACACACCTATTGTTTTTTTTTAGAAAATTTTGCTTATAGTATGTAAATAAAAATTCCGGCAGTGTATTGAATAACGAGTTTATGCGCAAAAAATAAGTAATCATTTATATTAAAAATTAGAGTAGAGTTCAGCGGGATAGGGATCACGGTCGGGATCGGCGGGATTATCCCGGGTTTTTGAATCCCAATTTCGGCCAATCCCGATCCCGTGTCGAGATTCGGGATCGGTATTACCATTCCAAAATCCGATACCGCTGAACTCTATTATGGTTTCTAAAATTGCTATCACTTATTTGTTAGGTAGCTGTCTCCCCCAATCAAATAAAAAAATGTATATGAAAGCAAGGTGGTATTTAAACCTGGGATATTTAAAATCAAAATCTTACTGTAATTTATTTAAATATTTTTTTAAATTTATATACCGTATTTTCCTAATAGTGCGACCGGTCGGTTTATTTTTCAACTATCTTCTAGGGGGTCGGTTTATTAGAAGGGGTCGGTCTAATATAGACAGTCGCACTATTAGTGAAAATACAGATGTTGTTTTTATTTAATGAAAAAAAGCAAAAAGGAAGGCAATCACGCATTTCGATCATCTGATATACAATAATAAACATCACATGCATTTCATAGACAGGTGATATTGACAAATAATTTAAATAAATAAAAATAAATTTATTTAAAATAAAATCAAGTTAATAAACATTAAAGTTAAACATTTAATTTTATTATATCCTTTCGATCCAGTATTGGAGATATCACTTAGAAACTTTCCTGCCTAATTAAAAAATAATTATATTACATTAGTTAATTAAAATTATTGTAGGAGTAATATTAAAATTTATTTTTCATTAATTGGATTTTATTTAAAAAATCATTTAAAATAACTATATAATTTTATAAATTACCATTCAAGCAAAAATAATACAAAAATTTAAAATGTGCTTGCAAAGCTAGCATAGCAAAAATGAAAACTGCCAGTCATGGTGGGATGTTGAGGTGATAACAATATTATTTTGAAGAATTTTCTAGATAAATCCCAAGCAATCTTCTGCTAATCTCTGCGATGAATTCGGCCACTCTACTTTATTAAAGCTTTTTCTCCCGAGACAGGACATTTTGTCAAAATTTTTAAATTAAAATAAAATATAGGTAGCTTGTTATTTTGTGACACAAAATAAGTTTGATTAAGAATTTCAAATCTCTTATGACAATTTATGGAAGAATGTTGTTTAACTTATAAATCAAATACTAATTTAAATTTATCTAACATTTTAAATAAAATTTACGAATGACAAATTTAAAGAAATATGCTTAAATGAATTCCAACAGGAATTGATCAAAATTTTAAAAATAAAAAAAAAGTTCTAAAATTTCGGCTCTATACGCAGATCGTGCCGGCTTGAAATTTTTTCCTTATTTACTGGGTATTTTTCCCAAGTTTTTATGTTTGTGATGTTTGCTATAAGGAAAAACAAAGAAAAATATTAAATTTTGATGTCTGTCCGAGTCCGTCCGTGTTTTGACTGTCTGTGTCCGTCCGTGTTTTGTCTGTCCGTCTTCGTCCGTGCGAGCATCCAGAATTAACAAAAATATAGGGAATGATAGCAAGAAATAAGTCACCATTTTTCCTTACGGCAAAATCACAAACATCAAAAATGAAGAGAAATATGACCATTCCGAGCCACTCAAAAAAGTAAGGAAAAAATATCAAGCCGGCACGATCTTCGTATAGGGTCAAAATTTCTATAACGTTTACATATGTTGTTAATATGTATAAGTCACACAATTTGGTGAATATGTTCATCTAGCTATAAAAGATTCAGTTCCAGATTTCCTCCTGTTAAATAAAAATTTTTTTATAGAAATTATTTATATGGTTCATAATATTATTTTAAATTAAACTATTTTTGTTCGTTCAAACTTTATTGAATGGTATTTACTGTTTTTTATTTTCTTTAAAAATTATTTCAAAAATTAATTTCATTCGTTCTGTTATAATCACTTTTAAATGAATTTCGGAGACTAAAATTTTAAAAATAGTTAAAAACAAAATTCAACAGTGAAGACCGTACAGTTTTCAGATACATATAGGAAGATCTTATCCTTTTGTGGAGATTGACTTGTCATACCAAATGCGGTATCTTCTGTTTGGGTATCAGGTTTTGTTGGATTTAATTGTTCGTAGTGCTTTGTATTTGGACGGGTTGAAGAAACAAAACAAGTAAAAATCAAGAAAAGCAAAAATACTAATAAAATTGCTACTTTCATTTTTTGTTTAATTTACAGTTTTTTTTAAACTTTTTGTTGAAAATATTTAAAATAATCTGAAAATATAAAGGTTTAATTTTTATTTTTATTATATACGGTGTTCATGCATGCTGTGGAAAAATTCATATGACGGGAGACGGAATTGAACCATCGCGGAAAGGGCCCAAAACCGAAGCACAACCGACTTTGCCACCATCCAACGCAATGCGGGTTATTTTTTATTTATTATTCTTTCTGCAAGTATGGACACAACAATTTTCATTTCAAATCATTTTCGATTATAAAATGTTTATTCATAAAAAAACTATCTTTTCTGTCAGAAAAATAAATTTTTCTTTGAGTTTCAAGTTTTCTTTGACGCAGGATTTTTACAGGGTTTGGACCTGACGATTTCCTATTTTTGCGATTTCCTATTTCCGGACAGGGTTAATCTTCTTTCCGGTCCAGGAAAGAAGAAAAAACTATGAAAAGCTTTTCTGATTGATATAAATATATCTATTATAGTATCCAAACTCCCCCTCAACATTCAGGAAAAAACATTTGCTTTATTTTTTATTTTATAATTTATAAATTAATTTTTATTTAAAAATATTTTTTTTAATTTAATTTTACTTAAAGGTAAAATAAAGGCAATAAATTAAGGAATGAGGGGAGTGAATGAAAGGCAAGCTGTCAAACGCATGATTATTGGCATGTGAGTAAATGATTGTGTAATTAATCAATTAAAAATTTTGAAATATAAAAATGTTTTTTTCACTGTTTTATGTTTTAATTTTTTATGTTTAAATTTAAATCATTACATTTTATAAATTAAATGTTTATTTATAAAAAATAATCTTTTTATCAGAAAAATAAATTTTTCTTTGGGTTTTCTTTGTCGCAAGATTTTTAAAGGTTTGGGACCTGACGCTCCAACCCGGGGTTTTTGCGATTTCCTATTTCCAAACGGGATTAATCAAGAAAGTCAGGCCAGCTCTGACCGGTCCAGAAAAGAAGAGTTTTTATTTTATAATTTGTAAATTTAATTTTTATTTAAAAATAAAATGTTTTTTAAATTTTTTCTTAGAAATAAATTAAGGGGAAGAATTAGGGAATTACGGTAATGAATGAAGGGAAATGAATGAATTTATTTATTTTAAGCAATAGCCATAATTTTTAATTTTTAAGAGCTGTCAAACATATGATTATTGGTAAATGATTGGGCAAATAATCAATTAAAAATTTTTAAAAATTAAAAAAAAATGTTTTTTTTCAGACTAATTTGTTCAATTTAATTTAAAAACAATTAAACTTATTGTGTAATTTAAAAAAACATATAATTAAAAGGAGTCATTAATAGAGGGAAGGGATTTAGGGGTTTATTCGAGATTTGTATATGTACATATGTGGTAGGGCATTTGATTGGGGGTAATTATTGTTTAAACCTATCATTGGTGGGGGTAATCAACTGAAGTTGGGTAATTATTTGAGGATTAATACACATTAAACGGCATGCAACGGGTCCAAACCAGAAGGTCGAAACCCAGAAGATCAACACCCTAGATGTCAACTGACCCAGAAGGTCAAATCCATAGTGGTCAACTGAACCAGAAGGTCAACCTCAGATATTTGGGCGGATAAAGTGTATTAGAGATTAAAAATAAGCTGGTCTGCTCGCTTTTGATTTATCTGATAGTTGAACGAAAAAATTACCGTCTTTTATCCTTTAATCGTCCTTAATCCCACCAAATCCATCATAATCCGCACTAATCCTTCTTTATCCGCATTAATTCTCAGACATCCTTCCTAATCCGCACGAATACCCTTTATCCGTCCAAATATCTGAGGTTGCCCTTCTGGGTTGATCCCTATGCAACTATATGCACGGAAGTATCCAAACTGCAAAAATATCCATTAAAAACGTATCCTAAAGTGCCCAAGCCAATGTAGAAACATTGGCTCAACTCGCAACCCGGTTACAGTCTTTAACTAAAAACCGATATTAAATAACCAGAAATTCTTTTGATTAAATACCTCGTTTTAACATAAATTCAGTACCTAATACACCTTTTTTGTAAATAAATTTTCCTCGGTCCCAATGGTGGATTTACAATAGGGTTGTCGGATAGTTGGAAATCCTCGGATATCCGATATTTTTTCGGATCCGGATCAGATAACCCTAATTTACAAGGGGGTCCAAGTATAAAATTATTCCAGTACCAATATAAAAATAAATAATGTTGTGTTTCTCTTGTCTCTCTTTATGCTTGAAATTATAGCAGGGGAATTTCTTACTCTAGTAAAAAAAATAAATAAAAAGGACAACATTTCTTCCAAAAGCTGAATCGATAAAAAAATAAAAAAATATTTTTAATTTTGCTTAATATTAATAAAAATGTTTATTTAAAAATTTTTATAAATAATTTAAAATTTATTTTTAAGTAAATTAATTTAAAATTTAAAAATAATGGAAACATTTAGTGAAGAAATGTCAAATAATTATGAAATGTTAGGGAAAATTGGAGAAGGAACTTATGGAACGGTTTTCTTTTCGAATTTTGGAATGAAATTTTTTGTTAATTTAAAGGTTTTTAAAGCAAAAAGTAAAGAAAATGGGCAAATTGTTGCTTTAAAAATTGTTAAATTGGATGATGAAGATGAGGTTTTTTGTTCAAAAAATTATTTTGAAAGTCAATCGTGGTTAATTAATTTAATAAAAATACATATAATTATCACCAGGGTCCGGCATTTTATTGAAACAAAATTAGTGAAGAAATGTCAAATAATAAATTGAAATTTTAATATGGCCATAAAATATTGAAATAACTGGAAAATTGCCAAAATATTAAAATAAAGCAGCTGGGCTATTTCTCTCCTTTAGCTATTGCAAAAGGTTATTCGGCGGCTGGGAGCGAATCAGCATCTTCATCAGACTTAACTGATGTGTTATCTTTACACAACACCGCCTGCTGCATAGTCTTAGGAATTAAATAGCTATGTATATGCTTACAATAAATTGAAATTTATCTTTGTCAAAAATCAAAATATAGCAAAAATAATTGCATATTTGGGCTTCTTTTGACAAAGTGTCTTTGCATAAGAATATTTTATTTCAATAAAATCCGGACCCTATTTAACACATTAGACTATCCACTTGAATTGTGGTTGTAAATAAAGCCCTAGAGATTGTTTTGAAAATACAGAAATTTTTTTGATAATGATGTTTAGTCTCCCTTTTTATTTTCCAAAATTTAGAAATAATTTATTGTTAAAAAAGAGACTAGAGCTAGGAATGGATCAGGCTTGTTTCTCGGTTCTAGAAAGCAAAAAAAAGGAAATTATTTAAAAAATGAATTAAAAAAATAAGATCCATTAGTAACGTAATAATCTCTTCATATTAAATAAGTATTTTTGATGAACAAATTTCGGTAAAATTGAATTTCGTATACCCCCTTTTTTCTTTCTCAAAATATTAAAAATTTAAGGGTGTTCCTTCATCTGCATTACGTGAGATTTGTCTTTTACGTGAGCTTAGACATGGAAATGTTGTTAGATTAAATGATGTTATACATACAGACAAAACGTTGAATTTAGTTTTTGAATTTTGGTTGGCAATTTTTTTAAATTAATTTTAAAAATAAGAAACATATTTATAGTATTAGGTATATCCAAAGCTTAGGGATTAAATACATTAAGAAAAACAAGTAACGAATGCAGTAACTTTTATAATAGAAATAATGCGGTATTTATTTACTTCCCCCCCTCCTCCAGTCAATTTTTTTGGAAAATGTGTAAAAATGGTCAATCTTTACATAAAAATGTAGAACCATCGAGCCTTGATTGAACTTGACACAAAAATCAAAAAATCCGACTTAATTTAATCTCCGGATATCCGGATTCGGATCCGCCAACCTTAGTGACCAGGAATATCTTAAACACATTTTTGACAAATATACTTTTTAACTGAAATTGTTTTTTAGAAGACAGTATCGAGCTTTTCCAAAGCTAAAATTAACAAAATAATTATTTTTATAAAAATTCTTTTTAATATTTTTAGTGATCTCGATTTGAGAAAATTTTTTGATACATTAAATGGACATATTGACGAGAAGGTTTATTTTAAACATAAATTTAAAAAATAATTTAAAAGATTATTCGTTCATTAATGCAACAACTTTTGGCTGGATTAAGTTATTGTCATGCCCATAATGTTTTACACAGAGATTTAAAGCCACAAGTAATTTATGGAATTTGCAAAATTGAATTGAGACTTTTAAAGTTAAAGTTACCTTATATACTCTATTAATTAACCTAGGTAATTATTATTTCAACCTCTCGCTTGAGGGGGGATTTAATAGAAGCGGGGTAAATTAGAGGTTATTTTAGAAAATCTAATTATGACTAGTTTTAAAGGGGCAATTATTATTTTAGCCTCTCGCTGGAGATAGGCGGGGTAATTATTTGAGGGATGAAAATTGATAGAGTATATACGGTATTTAATTAAGACCGAATTTTAAAAATTTCTAACTACTAAATTATAAAACGGAAGAGAAATCTCGATATAAATAAATCATTTTTATATCTCGGAAAATACCCGTTGGTAAGGATTCTATAGACCTCAAAGAGAGATCTTACGCAAATTTTAAAAATATTCAAAAAAGTCGTTGTCATTTTTAATTATTGAAACATTTTAAGCCAAATCAATTTCCTACTCGATCTATTAAGATATACCCCAAATTAAGCACCTCCTCTCGATTAATTACCCCCTCCAGCGAATGGTCGTAACAACAATTACCCAGGGTAGTTATACTTTTTGTTGTTTCGTGAAGATCAAACGCTTAACTCGACCGTTTATCTATTTAATTAAATGCAAATAAAAATTTTGTTTAAATCCAGCCATAAAATTAATTTATTTTTATACAGAATCTGTTAATTAGCAACAATATTAAAGACTCCCCTCCCCAATTAAAATTGGCAGATTTTGGATTAGCAAGGCCTTTTGGAATTCCTGTAAATTTTTTTAAATAGCAAAAAATTTAAATTTAAATTAAGAAAATATAAAATGTTATGTACTAAATATTTTAAAATTAAAAAAAATTTCTTTTGAAGGTTCGCTGCTATAGTGCTGAAGTTGTAACACTTTGGTAATTTTTTTTAAATTTAATTAGAGTTGGTTCGGTATTGTGTATCGGGATTTACCGATCGGTATCTGGATTTCGGTATTATTAAAAAATTCGGAATTTAGATACCAGGTTTGGTCAATCCTGATACCGAGCCGGTAACGGCTCGGTATAGGGTACCGAGCCGTTAGCTCGGTACCCTATACCGATATATTCTAACTAAAATACTAAAACCTTTACATAAAAAAAGACTAAAAATGCGCAAAGGGCTCATTATTTATCTGACAACCCATTATATAGTACCCTCGGTACCCTATATATATCGGTACCCTCGGTACCGTTAGCTTAGTATAGGGTACCGAGCCGTTAGCCAAAATATCCCGATACCAGCCGGTATCCAAAATAACGATACCGATTTCAGTTCGGAATCCCGATACAGCCCAACTCTAATTTTATTAAAATTAAAATATTTTACGGGGGAATTTAAAGGTATAGACCACCAGACGTTCTTTTTGGGGCAAAACTTTACAATACTTCCATAGATATTTGGTCTGCTGGATGTATTTTTGCTGGTTTCTTTCAAAATTAAATAAATTTAATATTTTAAAAAAAATAAAGAAATTGCCAATTGTGGTAAACCTCTTTTCCCTGGTGCTGATGTTGATGATCAATTGAAGAGAATATTTAAATTATTGGGTACACCTAATGAAGTAATTTTATTTAATAAAAAAATAAATTATTTTTAATTCTCGGTAATTGTAAGGATGTCTCTGAAAAAAATGAGCAAAAGTGTTCTTGAGTTATTTTGTGGTTTTACCTACGTTATTCTCTTAATCTAACAATAATTTTCTGATCTCAAAAATCTCGATTATCGCGGTTTTTACTTCGATATCCAACCGCGATCGATCTCTATGGGATACCCGATGAACTAAGTGGGATACCAATCCTGTATGATCGATCATGTATTTAACATTAAGATAACATTTAACCCAAATCTAAGGCAGCTCAAAACTTATTTCAAATGATCTTTTATTGCAATCTAATCACTTTTTACTTTTGTATTTCATGACACCTGCATTAAAAGGGATATCGAAGGATTAAAAGGATTATCTGGAGATATCTAAGGATATGAAGGATTTAGGAGTGAACACGATATTGACTTAATCCTTACAAATCTTCGGATATCCCTTAATATAATTAGATCAGAATTGTAAAGCATATAGCTATTTAATTCCTAAGGCTGTGCAGTAGGCGGCGTAGTGTAATGGATAACACATCAGTCCGGTCTACTGGAGATGCTGGTTCGCACCCAGCCGCCGAATAACCTTCTGCACTAGCTAAAGGAGAGAAATAGCTATATCCCAGCTGCTTTACTGAAATTAATTTCTAATATTTTTTACAAAAAATATTTTCTAGTTAGAATGGCCAACAATGACACATTTACCTGAGTATAAGCCCTATCCACCATATCATAGAGCAACAAATTGTTGGGAAAAAGCCATGCCTATTCCGAATGATTTAGCTAGAGATTTATTAAAGGTTATTTTTAAATGATTTTTCTGAGAAAAATAAATCTTTTTAAGCGTCTTCTTGTTTGTAATCCACAACAAAGAATTAATGCAGATGTTGCTTTAACACATAAATACTTTTCTATACCTTCAACAAATACGAATTCAATTAAGAAAATTTAATTTGGTTTAAATTAATTAATAATTGATCTCATTCATTTGTCATAAAAAGAAATTTAATAAAATATTAAAAAGAAATTTCTGTAGTAATTTTCTTTAGGTATAAGGGGTAGGATTCCTCCTTGCATTATTGCTAGACGCTTTCGCTCACCACTTAAGTATACATAGGAGCTATACCACTGAGCTACCGTGGCATCGACTAATACTCTGTTTTAGATCGTTTAACCTCCGCCTAAGCGTTTTAAATGCTCTAGGTAAATCATCATTAAAAAGTTTAGTCTATGAACGAAACAGAGTCAATGAAAATTAAAAAGAAATCAGATGTTATAAATGTTATTAAAAAATATTTTTTAATTTAAAAAATAATTTGGCAAGTTATCACAAATGTTATGATCGTTAGAATAGAAAATAATAGTAAATAATTGTTTTTAAAATCATTCATAGATGAATTACATAAGTCATCTTGACAACAACAAACAAAATCTGAAAGAAAAAATTAATAAAATTGCCTAAATATTTTTTAATAAAATTATTTGTTTCCGTAATACTAGGGCTGCCCCTCCCTACTCCATGTGGCGTTACCTCCCCGAAAAACCTTCGCCGTGCCCCACCCCCGTCGGGAAACAACCCTAAGTAATAGCCATGCATATAAATTACAAATAAAAATAACGGTATCATATATGTATGCACCGGTTGACTTTTTGATCAGACGTGACCGTTAAAAAGTATACGAGAATAACCACATTTATACCTCACAATTATGTACCTCTTTGGGGCCGAAAAAAGCTTACACTATATTTCTCATTATAGTGGGATTCGACTATGATTATCCTTATAATTTTTAAGGATAATTGTAGGCGCAAAAGTCGCGGCAATTGTGGTAGCGCAAATGCTCGCGGCTTTACTTTATATAACCCAAATAACAATTTAAGTATTTTACCAGTAGTACCATCTTCTTCATAATTTATTGGAGAACATGCATTCCCCTAAAGAAATAGCTGTTACTTTAGTTATTTCGAATAATTCACCTGAGGACACTGAGCTAAAGTGGCACAATCACGCACAACTCGGCCATCGTAAACATTAGCTTTTAGACAATAAGTGGGGCTAGAAGGGAATGAAGGAGAGCACCTTACCTTTTAAAAAATAAATTATTTAGGTATATTCTTACTCAAAAACTTCTTCAATCCCCAAATCAAAACCATTATTTTTATAACAAGTTATGTGTCCAAGTCTATCAGATATTACCTAAAAATATTTAAAAAATTAAATTTTTAACAAAGTAATAAAATTTACTTTTTGAGCGAATAAATTAATTAATAAAAATATAATTAAAATAAATTTTATAAAATTTTTATAAATATTTAAAAAATACTTTAACAACATTTTTATCTAAATTCTGTAAAATTAAAATATTTAATTTTAAAAGACTGATAAAATTGATTAATATTTTATTGGAAGTTATTTTGACAAAATAACAGAATAGAAATTTTAGTGAAGTTATGGAGTAGGGTTGCCGTTTTCGAGTCGGGCCGACGGTCGAGGTATTTTTGGGCTTGTTTTTATCGAGTCGGGCCGGTACGAGTGACTTTCGGGCCTAATATCTTAGGTTCGACTCGATCTCTCAGTCCGAGTCGGTCCATTTTGCAACCCTATCATGGAGGTTATTAATAGAGCCCGGACGGTACTACCAACGGCATTTTGGATACGGAATACGGTACGATAAAAAATCGCAGGTTCTGGTTATTAAAAGTTAAAAGGGTCCCTAAAAATTCAAAATTAAAATTTTAATAATCTAAAAATCATATTACAGTTATTCTATAAATTTAAAAGAATAAAATATGAAATAAAATTCTAGCAAAACATTTAAATTAAATATTTATTTTTATTAAATAAAAAATAATTGTATTAATCCGATTTGGCCATAGAAAAGAGAAATAAAAACTTTCCCTAAAAATAAATCCACTCATTGAACATTATTATTTTATTTATTAAATGGTAAAACTTGTTTCTCTATAAAAAGTAAATACTTGAGGATATTATTATTTTTTAAATAAAAAATTTCTTTTTTTTTAATTTTAATTGAAATTTTGCCTTTTAAATGAGTGAAGGTTTAAGTGGAATATTTTTTTAATAAATTATTACTTTTTCAGGACCTATAACTCGTTCTAGAATCATTTCCTAAAGGAGCGAGTGGTACCTTTCGACTCAACTCATCGAGAGGAATCGAATGACATATGTCACGTCCCGAACTTTTAGAACACTATACTATATCCACAAAATGTTTACATTGATAAATTTTTTTTCAATTTAAATAAATAGCTGATAAAATTGTAAGAGATCGAATTTTAGTTTTTACGTAATACATATGTAAATAAATATTAAAATAACAAATATTAAAAAAAAATTGTTGAATACTATTTTCTATTTAACTCAAGAGTATGTTTGTAAAGTCAACAAGTCTGCTTTTTAAGATAATATTTATTTAAAGATCAACTTTTCTCGCAGTAAAAGTTCTCAAAAGATTTTTACTTTTTATTGTAATCAATATAATAAATATATATTAATGACTCAAATATTTAAAAAAACTGTTGAATCTAATGACTTCAAAAATTTACATATGTATTAAAAATTATAATAAAATTTAATATTATAATAAAATCTAAGAATATTTCTAGCATTTTATATTAGGATTAGATATATTTCTTATAATTTTTTGAATCCATTTCCGTTAAGAGTGGGGGATTTTGGACATATACATAGGTGGGTTCGACAAGGCTTTTTTAGGTATTTGGTATTAATATACCTATAAATCCAAATAAAGTCCTTAAAATCCCTTTATACTAAACGGTATTCGTTATTTTTAAATTTCTATTTTGCATATTATAAATCAGTTAATCTTCCTTAAAACTTTTTAAATTATGCAAAAACATGCCACAAACATGCTTATTGCTAATATGGATTACGAGAATAGTATTTTCTCGATTAATGCCCCTACCTCGAATAATTCCCCCTCTCGATTAATTCCCTACGTAAAGTTGAGGTGAAACAATAATTCCCCACCACCAAATACCCTAATGCACGTTCAATGCCAAAACTCGAATAATTCCTCACCCTTGAATAATTCCCCATGCCAAGGAAGGGTCGAAAAAATAATTCCACAGGGGAATTAATCGAGAAAATACGGTAAATTGATACTTTATGGATATATCAGGATACGAAAACTTTTTTTTAATTTGAAATGTAATTTAATTTGTTTGATTTTAGTATAATTTAATGAAATTTTCAACACTTTACTAAAAATTTAATATTTATAAAAGTAAAGTAAAATAAAAAATATTTTGTTTAAAAAATTTAGATGTACCATTTAAGGCACAATTGAACAAATAATAAAATAAACGTGAGTAATAGAAAACAATAATTTTTTTTTTACAAATAAAAACATGGAAAACTAGTAAAAAGAAAGTAAAGGTGAGTCATTTTTAAATTATAAAAATTTTTTTAAATAAATGTTGAATTAAATTGTAAATGTTTTCTGAGTGAAATTTAAAACAATGAAATATGTTTACTCAAATATGTGTCTATATTTTTAAAACCCTCCGAATTAAAAAACTTTCTCGTGGAGTACGGTTCAAAAATTCATCAATCTGTGAGAACAACAAAAGCGAAGGAAAAATACATAAAATCCTTTTATCAAAGGTGATTTAATTGGGAAAAAAAGAAAAAAACATTTGTTTATTCGAATTTTTAACCCCAAAATCAGCTTGGTCCCTCTGAGGGCTTTCAACTTTCAGGAGTCTGTAACTTGGTCCCGTGAAATCGGATCAACTTCTTCCACACCTAGTTCGACTCAGTTTTTAAAGCTCTTTCGAATGACACCTCAATTGTCCAAATCAATCCAAATTTGAAAAAATTACATTAAAAAATAACACCCGATTTTTTAAAATTTTACCCGTTTTTATTTTTAAAAGTTTAAAAAAATTTTATACTCTTAAAATATTATTTAAAATGTTTATTTCATGTTTTATTTATTTAATTAGAAAATATTAATTAACCATGAAAAGGTTCGAACCCGAGACCCAATTTTAAGACGATTTTGTAGTCAGCGCTTTTATCCACTTAACCAAAATTTTAATTCCGCTATGTCCTCTCTTTTGCCTGCGCTAGTCTGCTGTGCGGCTTGAAATCAAATGTATCCTTTGATTTATATAAAACCAAACCACTTTTACCCTTTGCTAGCTTTGCTAATCATTATTAAAAAGACTTTTTAATAAATATTAAAAACCGGAAAATATCATTAAAATATAAATTAAGTTATTTTAAATGATATTAATTATTTTGCAACTACAAATTACCTTGAATTGTAGTCGAAGCATGGAAGAAAAATCCTTTTTTCTTCAAAATACTGGTTCTAATTTGGGGAATTTTTAAAAGAATCATTCTTTTTCAAAAAATTTCGGTTTTTTAAATTTTATAAAGACAGCTAATTTTTGGCAAAAAATATCAAAATTTTTGGGTCATGAACAACCATACAGGGTGCGGCATAAGTAATTGCACACTTGTTTTCTCTCATAACTTTATTAAAACACAATAAAATAAAATCGAAATACAATCAAATGATAGAGAATTAAATAAGGAACAATAATAATCAAGAAGTTTCGAAATGCCGACCCTTGCCTTTGATACAGAGGCGAAGGTGCGAAGAAAAATTTTCGCAAATAGCACGCACCTCCTTGAGTGTAATTAAGAGCCACTCTCGGGTGAGAGAGTGGCGCAGAGACTCCAAACTTTTGTGTGGCTTAGCACAGGTCCTGGACTCCAAAATAGACCAAAATGAATAATTCATCGGGTTTAAATCCGGGGAGTATGGCGGCCATTCTCGAGCGCTAATGAACCCAGGAAAATTGGTCTTGCACCAGTCCTGAACTTCTTTCGCCTTGTGTGCCGGAGCAGAGTCCTGTTGGAAAATCCAGACTCTGCGACCGAAATGGCTCTTGAATCGA